CGAACAAGGTATAGTTTGTGCAGAACTTCCAGGTTAAGGTACCTTTAGACCGCGATATACGAAGTTCGTGTCGCGGGCGCTTGCAGGCATTGCTGTTAGACTGACTGCACATAGGGGTACTACTGGCATTGATGCGCTATATCTTAAATTTTCTTCGCCACCACTGGGTTTCAAGACCTGTCATTTTGCCAGCTTGTTGGCCTCATCACAAGCTTCCGAACAAGGTATAGTTTGTGCAGAACTTCCCAGGTTAAGGTACCTTTAGACCGCGATATACGAAGTTCGTGTCGCGGGCGCTTGCAGGCATTGCTGTTAGACTGACTGAACATAGGGGTACTACTGGCATTGATGCGCTATATCTTAAATTTTCTCCGCAACCACTGGGTTTCAAGACCTGTCCTTTTGCCAGCTTGTTGGCCTTATCACAAGCTTCCGAACAAGGTATAGTTTTGTGAAATTCCCAGGTTAAGGTACCTTTAGACGCGATATACGAAGTTCGTGTCGCGGGGCGCTTGCAGGCATTGCTGTTAGACTGACTGCACATATGGGTACTACTGGCATTGATGCGCTATATCTTAAATTTTCTCCGCAACCACTGGTTTCAAGACCTGTCCTTTTGCCAGCTTGTTGGCCTTATCACAAGCTTCCGAACAAGGATAGTTTGTGCAGAACTTCCCAGGTTAAGGTACCTTTAGACCGCGATATACGAAGTTCGTGTGCGCGGCGCTTGCAGGCATTGCTGTTAGACTGACTGCACATAGGGGTACTACTGGCATTGATGCGCTATATCTTGAATTTTCTCCGCAACCACTTGGTTTCAAGACCTGTCCTTTGCCAGCTTGTTGGCCTTATCACAAGCTTCCGAACAAGGATAGTTTGTGCAGAACTTCCCAGGTTAAGGTACCTTTAGACCGCGATATACGAAGTTCGTGTCGCGGGCGCTTGCAGGCATTGCTGTTAGACTGACTGCACATAGGGTACTACTGGCATTGATGCGCATATCTTAAATTTTCATGCAACCACTGGGTTTCAAGACCTGTCCTTTTGCCAGCTTGTTGGCCTCATCACAAGCTTCCGAACAAGGTATAGTTTGTGCAGAATTCTCTGTTGAGGTACCTTTAGACCGCGATATACGAAGTTCGTGTCGCGGGCGCTTGCAGGCATTGCTGTTAGACTGACTGCTGTTAGACTGACTGCACATATGGGTACTACTGGCATTGATGCGCTATATCTTGAATTTTCTCCTTAACCACTTGGTTTCAAGACCTGTCCTTTGCCAGCTTGTTGGCCTCATCACAAGCTTCCGAACAAGGTATAGTTTGTGCAGAACTTCCCAGGTTAAGGTACCTTTAGACGCGATATACGAAGTTCGTGTCGCGGGCGCTTGCAGGCATTGCTGTTAGACTGACTGCACATAGGGGTACTACTGGCATTGATGCGCTATATCTTAAATTTTCTCCGCCACCACTGGGTTTCAAGACCTGTTCTTTTGCCAGCTTGTTGGCCTCATCACAAGCTTCCGAAAAAGGTATAGTTTGTGCAGAACTTCTAGGTTAAGGTACCTTTAGACGGCGATATAAAAGTCGTGTCGCGGGCGCTTGCAGGCATTGCTGTTAGACTGACTGCACATAGGGGTACTACTGGCATTGATGCGCTATATCTTAAATTTTCTCCTCAACCACTTGGTTTCAAGACCTGTCCATTTGCCAGCTTGTTGGCCTCATCACAAGCTTCCGAACAAGGTATAGTTTGTGCAGAACTTCCCAGGTTAAGGTACCTTTAGACCGCGATATACGAAAATCGTGTCTGTGCGGGCGCTTGCAGGCATTGCTGTTAGACTGACTGCACATTATGGGTACTACTGGCATTGATGCGCTATATCTTAAATTTTCTCCGCAACCACTGGGTTTCAAGACCTGTCCTTTGCCAGCTGTTGGCCTTATCACAAGCTTCCGAACAAGGTATAGTTTGTGCAGAACTTCCAGGTTAAGGTACCTTTAGACCGCGATATACGAAGTTCGTGTCGCGGGCGCTTGCAGGCATTGCTGTTAGACTGACTGCACATAGGGTACTACTGGCATTGATGCGCTATATCTTTAATTTTCTCCGCAACCACTTGGTTTCAAGACCTGTCCTTTGCCAGCTTGTTGGCCTCATCACAAGCTCCGAACAAGGTATAGTTTGTGCAGAACTTCCCAGGTTTAAGGTACCTTTAGACCGCGATATACGAAGTTCGTGTCGCGGGCGCTTGCAGGCATTGCTGTTAGACTGACTGCACATAGGGGTACTACTGGCATTGATGCGCTATATCTTAAATTTCTCCGCAACCACTGGGTTTCAAGACCGTCCTTTTGCCAGCTTGTTGGCCTCATC